GAAAAGGCGTTGCGGTGAGTTTTTTGTACTCAAATAGCCATCACATTTTAAGTATCTCCTTTGGTTTTATAGTAATTATGGATTCTTGAATGTAATGGTAAATACCATCGACTCTTATCAAGGCATGGAATGTGATGTCATCATAATTTCAAATGCACGTACCACTGGCATCGGATTCCTGGCAAACTATCAGCGCTTGAATGTGGCTTTAACTCGACCGAAAAAGTGCCTTATACTGTGTGGAAACTTCAAAAATTTGGAGGTAAACAAAATAGTTGAAATTTTTATTTTACTTTACTTACGTAAAGATGCTTTGGCTTTTATTATTGCTCCTCTAAACGGATCCATATATTAATGTTCAACATCGTAATCATTACAAAAGGCCCTAAGGGATATTTCGAGGAAATACTCTGTCGTTCAATACATATTACGATAGTTTGATTCCAGATACATTCCCAAAACGTCTCTTACAGAAAGGATATTTTGTAATGGTGGCCATATGTTGAAACATATATACTATAGGCGTGCGGATTATCCCCAAAAAGTACTCTAGAAATGAAAAAAGTGTTTGGGTCAAGTAATCGGTTGAAACGAATTGTAATCGATAGCCTACACAGAAATACATTTACCGTTAATTTTACCCAAGTTTTTACTGATGCCTTCATGTCGAATATGCCAAATAACCTGATTTTTCACAGCGGCAAATTTTTAAATTTTTGCGAAATTTTAACTTAAACTCGCTATATCTCACACATTTTATTATCGATTGGTTTCAAATTTTTACACAATACACTTGATACTATTCTTAAGAACCTGAGTTTAACTACGGTTCTTAGTACTTATTAAAAACAAAATGGCAACGTTTTTTCAAATGCAAAAGTTTTGTTATAAAATTAAAACTTTTTTTTAATGCAGATTTATAGATGAATATCCAAGAAAGTTTTTCGGAAAGTTTGAGGTTTAAACAGCAAGTAGTTCCTAAATTATAACAATATTATGGTGACGCCCACGAGTGGGCGCTCGCCCCTAGATGACAAATGAATCACCTACGAATGAAGTGATTCGCTCTCAAAATTTTGTATGGCGAATTACGTGATTCGGTTCGTAATTGGGGCGCCAATCACAAATGAGAGAGCGAATTACGAATAGGAGATCGAATCACTTGCCGTGGAAACATCATTTAGTTGCGCATCTACAGTAGCGTGGTCCGAAAATCCGCTTTTTTAGAATTTTGATTGATAATAGCAAAAATATGGTTCACTATGCTCTAAACACAATCTGTGTGAAAGATGACAATTTTTGGTCAATATCTAATAGCCCAGTTATGTATTCTTGCATTGCTATACCATTTTTACGTAGAAATCAAAAACCCACAGACTTTTACGTATGTAATGCTGTGCGTTGGGTAACCGCTTACACGCGAAGCTCATTTAACAGATTCCTTATGTGACAACTCTCATTGCATGCACTGCTATACCATTTTTACGTAGAAATCAAAAACCAACAGACTTTTACGTATGTAATGCTGTGCGTTGGGTAACCGCTTACACGCGAAGCTCATTTAACAGATTCCTTATGGGACAACGCTCAAGCAATGCCAAGTATGCATAACAGAGCCTTTAGGCTCGCCAAAATCCATCAAAATTCTAGTGCTAAAAAATGTTACTTAGCTTACTTCGATCCTACTCAAAAAAGGTCCATACACCAAATTATGTAGGACTTATACTTTCGAAGGTACTTGCAATTTTATTTTAAAAAAATATTTATTAATGTATGTATTAATTTTTATTTTTTGAGCACATTGAACTCCGATGAATGATGATATGTGTCATTTGATTATTTCACAATGTAGCTAGCCAGGACTACTACAGTTTTCTATATCGGACAGACATATTGTCTTTGGCCATTTAACTGCATGTCTTTCAAGTAAGTCGAAAGTGGAATTTACTGTGGGACCCATGGGCTTCATGACTTTCAGAGAAGTGAATGCTATCAATTTCTAGTATATTTTGACAATATCGTCGTTTCTTTGGGTAAAAATAAATATATTTTAGTATCTAATATTGGAGGGGTATAAAACAAAATTGATGATTTATTGTTAGTACTAGGGATGGAAACTTTTGAAAAATAATCGATTATCGATTTTCGAATTTTATTTAATCCTTACGATTCTTGGAATCGATCAATCGACGGCGAGATTCGAATTATTTTATTAAATCTATAAAAAGGCCAATTATACAGACATCATTCATGGCTATTATAATGAGTCAATTAAAACTATTTTAAGAAGAGCTTTAATAATAAATTTGCTTAATTTGCTATAAAATGTGCGATTGAGACATATTCACGGTACTGTTTGATATGGAAAGGAAATAAATTTGAATACGCTCCTCAAAATTGTTTTTTTTTTTCATAAACTCATTTCTAGCATCTCTATGAATATGTGCCAATTAGTCTTACTTAATATTTATATTAGTCATGACAGAAATTTCACAATTCTAACAAATGACGCATATCTAGAGATGTATCATAAATAAGAGAATCGAGTTCTCAGAACCGATTCTCGAGCGATTCCGAAAATTTATAATCGATTCACCAAAATTAATTATTTCGAGAAAATCTACGATTACGGAGTGGAATCGGAATCGATTTTTCCATCCCTATTTAGTACGCAAACTAGAGCTACAAGTATCAACTTATTGAGCAATAGCCCTCTTCTCTTTCAAAAACAAAGGGTGCAATGGCCATTAGAAAGAAAACAGTTCAAATAAAAAAAAAAAAATCACCCTTTCTCTCTGCTACCGCTCTGCAGACTTCGGACACATTGGTAAATGGGATAAAATTAGAATTTTGACCGAGTAAATTAAAACTCAGGTAAAGCCAAACACAGGATTTTTGCGCAAAATACCTTTCCTCGCTGAGGCCTTCAACCGCGCTAAAAAAAAAATAACCATCATTAGTCCAATTTCGGCTACGCTGACCACAGTATTTTTTATAAAGAAAAACATATTTCAAGCCGAATTTATTAATAATTTTGTATTCGAACATTTGAGATATTATTTTGAACTTACGTTTTATCGTTTCACCACACATGTATGTTAGAATTTTTTAATTCGGGTTACGCGTTTGGAGACAATAACCCAAAATTGCTGTACAAATAACCGAACCGTGCCCAACAAAACACCATTTGCTAGTTGAAATTTCGATTCTATTGCTGAGTTTTCACTAGGCAATAAATGGCAAAAATGACAAATGATAAAGTCGGGCATTAAAAAATAATCGAGTCATTACATTAAAAAAATAGTCATTGAGTTCATTTCCACTTGGCATTTTTTTTAAATGGCATTAGAAAAAATTTTTTGAAAGAAACAAAAAAATTAATAATAAAATTTGAAGGATTTTAGGTATTGGGTATAGTAACTCGAAATCGTTACAATCTCCTTAATTGTCAGGTTGTTAATATGGCGACGAAAAAGTGACAATGAAAGTACCTTCTTTTTTTGTATTATGGTTTTTAGAGTACAATGAACCATACTTTTGCTATTACCAATCCAAATTCTAAAAAAAGCGGATTTTCGGCCCACGCTAATCTACAGGCCCAGTTCTTTAATTCCACAAACCATTTTCACAAACCTTCACAAAAATGGTTGATATATTTTTTTTTTTTAGTTCAAACAAATGAGCAGTAGCATATCCTGTTAACCCAGTTTTTCAATACCTTCGTGACGGTTTCTGGCTCTATCTCATGAATGGCTTGCTGGATATTCACTTTAAAGGCCTAAATCGTTCATGAACTCTTCGCACACTACAAAAAAGTCTAACGCAGCTCCGAGGTGGCCAATTGACATCACCAAGTCGGCTGATAACACAATTACCAATTTGACGCACCAAAGCTTTATTGTGGCATGGGTTGTGTTGCATGGCGCGCCATCCTGCTGAAACAAAAATTTGTCTAAGTCGGGGCTTCCACATCCGGCTACAATAAATCGTTTATCATGCCTCTGCAGCGCCCACCGTGAACCGAAATGGCGTTTCCAGCAGCATTTTCAAAAGTGGCCCACTTATGCCATCGCTCCAAAATCTGCACCAAACTCTCACTTTTTTGAAGTTGCATTGGCTTCTCCACGATCACGTGCGGGTTTCCCGATCCCGGAGATGAAAATGCGCTTCATTAGAAAAGAAATTTCGTTTGCATTATTTCCTAACGTTGTTCAAACGTAAAGCTACCATTTCGTTCCGCGGAGATATGATACGACTTCTGTCAAGATTTCCAGCGGGAAGGAACTGACACTGTCGAAATAAGACAGGACTAAAAAAAAACACTATATGGACCACGTTTAACATATGCAGATAGTAAGAGAGATATTACTTTTCGAATAGGTGCCACCTTAATAAAAAATATTTTCAGACTAAAGTTTTCTTAAAACTATTTCGTTTAGCACTCATGTTCTAATATTCTAATAATTTATTTAGCTTATTAAATGATTCCAATTTAATTGTTTTTGTTGCATATCCTTTTGTAAAAATAAGATCTTGCTGCACATCAAAAGGTCAATTCTTTTAATTTGATACCTCATTTTTGAAAATCGAACAAACGATGCGTATCTGATGGCATTAATTAATTAAAATAATTTGAATGCAATTTTTTATCAGGTTTATGAGAAAATCGAGCGAACGGTGCAGATGTTATGTCCTGGACAAAAAAATTCTTTGCGGATTATATATGTATATAGATAACAATAGTGGCATATCAGAAGTGGCATATGATTATGTGTGTGGTGGAGGAGAGCCATGTCCATCTTTTCAGTGGAGGAACGATCCGCATCAACTTGCTATTCTTTAATATTTTGTTTCGATCCTTCGAATCGGATACCCGCGTCGAAGTATAAAATTCACTACACGTCTAAATTATATAGCATCCAGCATTTCCCACCATTTTTTGAGTTTTAAAATAATGCGCCTAGAAGTATGCAATTTAAAATGCTTAATCTACTTACATTTTTATTCAACCCTATCATAGTCATCGAATACTCCATTTTCCGGATAATAATTTAGTTGAAATTCGTAGTTTAGGTTATGAATTCACTCGAAATTTTTCTAAATCAGCTCGAAGCCGCTGTTAACACATTAATGTAGGCAAATAGTATATTTTTATTGATATTTTAAAATTTTGCGGATCCCAGACTAAACAAATTTATCGCAAATACTTATTTGTGTATGTATATGTCTCTAGCTTAGCGTGAAAAGTTACTACGTCTAGTT